ATAATGAACCTTTCCTATTTGATTTTTTATTTTCCCACCTATATATATATATATTATATAATCTAAATATAAAAATATTCTATAATTTAAAATATATATTTTATTTTCATTCATTGATAGTTCTACTTGTTTTTGACCATAGTTTTAGAACACGCTGACTTTTATATACTTGTTGTAAATATGTAGTTATCTAACCTATTTTTGAAATTCACTAATTTAGAATTAATTTCATAAATTCTATATAACTGTGAAAAATGTCTTATTGTAATTTTCTCCAAGTAATTTAAAATAAAAACTACTTGATAGTAAAAAAAAAAAAAAAAAATTTCTGCTGCCTTTTGATATTTTGAAATATAACTAGTATAATGACATAATTACTCATATTTTAATTGCCTTTTTTATTCGTCTAATAATTTATATATAAATCTATCATTATTATTAAAATATACACATTGTTGTTCTTCCCCGTTGGCCGACCCAAAACCTTTGTACATTATGTAAATAAGCTTTTCATTTTTTAATTATTCTTACGCCTTAAGCCAGGCAGTACTTTTACAAAATTATGTGTATCCTATAGCTCAATTAAAGCAATCTTTTATCAAAACCATTATTATTATTCAGCCACGACTGCACCACCATTACCATAATCCTCAATATGATCCAAAACAACAGAAATCTAATCTTATTTTTTAAATTTATATAATATATATATGATATATTTTGTATATAGTAAACCATGATTCAATTCCATATTGAACGCACAATTGTTTTTAATGTACTATAGTTTTTGTTTAATCTTTTATTTTTGTCTGAATTGTTTCACAAATTGCCAAATACATTTTTTAAATATGTAAATTCCATGTTAAAAAAGAAAAGTCGAATGATATGTAAATTTACTAAAGTTTTTTTTTTAAGAAATATTTGCAAATATGTAAATTTTTGAAAAGTTGATCTACGGCTCGGCGCAGTGTTGTCCAGTGTGTGTGGCCTCGCGCTGATTGCTTATAATAAAGAAGAAGGAAAAATGCCTAACGACTGCTTAATTGTCATTTCCAGATATTGAAACTTTGGAAAAATTTACAATACGACATATATATATATGGTAACTAGGACACATACAAAATAATAACATATTAAATTTCTGTAACAAATATATCCCGAAAAATCCCACAATATACAATAAAAAAACCCTAAATAGAACCAAGGATATAGCAAACCTTCCCTTATAACAACATACGGTAATCCCCAATTCCATTCCATTAAAAATACCATTGTTATAAAAATATTTTGATAAAAATAACGAACTACCCTATAGCTAACCTAATTTTAGGTTTCAAACAAAATAATCAATCTAATTTAAAAACTAGGCTACTGATAAACTTAAATTTGTAATCAAGAGAATCTGTAAAATAAAATAAAAATTGAGCATGTTTCAGTTCACAGAAAGCGATTTTAAAACAACATATTTAGCGGTATTGTTTGCTTACATTTACATTCATTTTTCCTGCATGTTATATACTGTCGCGTGTGTACCCTACCGGTTCTTTGCGACAACGCCGCTTCTTCCTTCGTGGTTCACCTACCCGGGCTCCGGTTGCTCTTCCCTGCGGTTTTTCCCCGCAGGCCACCCAGAGACTTCCTGAGTTCCACCTCTCCTGTGGAAACTCCCTTCTTCTGGCAGTATCTCTCGGCCTTACCACTGGTGGGGGGACACGAGAGACTTACCAGAAGAGTAACAGCAGCAGCAGTAGCCTGGCGAAGATGGTAGTGGCGATAGTAACGACAGGAGGCGGCACGGAGACTAGCACTTCTTTATTGTCAATCTATTACTAACATTAAATCTAAATAAAACAACAGACAATGTGTATTTACATGACCCTACATCCTGGGGCCAACACAAAAGCGTATTTACATCCAACCTCCCGAGGAAACGGGACCACAGCAGTCGGCGACTCCCACATCAGCCAGCAAGGGATTCCGGCGAAAGCGCCATCTATTGGCGGAGATTGCAACCGTTTAGAGGCCTTACACGTAACACTGCCTCCCCCTCAAGGCGGATCGTCCCGATCCGGCCTCATCGCTTCCGTCACCCCGATGTCACGCTTCTCGCTGGTGCCGCTTTTGCTGGAATCGCCTTTCTCGCAGGAGCCAATCTTTCTCGCTGGAACCGCCCCTCTCGCCGGAGTCGCCCCTCGCCGGAGCCGTTCTTCTCGCCGGGATCGCCTCTCCCGCTGGAGCCGCCCCTTTCTCCGGAGCCGTCCCCTCTCGCCGGAGCCGCCCCTTTCGCCGGTACCGCTTCTCACGCCGGAACCGCTTCTCACGCCGGAGGAACCTCTCATGCTGACTCAGCCTCTTATGCCGACTCCGCTTCTTATAGCGGTACAGCCTTTCGTGCCGGAGGCGCCTCTCATGCCGGCACCGCCTCTTATGCTGGTACCACCTTTCTCGCCGAGACCACCTCTCTCGCCAGGACCATTCATCCCGCCAGGTCTCCTCTCGCCGGTACCGCTTTTCTCGCTGGCACCGTTTCTCTTGCCGGGACCACTCCTCTCGCCGGGACCATTTCTCTCGCCGGTACTGCTTCTCTCGCCGGGACCATTCCTTTCACCGGGACCTCTCCTCTCGCCGGGACCTCCTCTCCCGAGGGCACCGCCTCTCTCGTCGTAGCCGTTTTTCTCCCTGGCACCGCTTCTCCCGAGGGCACTGCTTCCCTCGCCGGTACCGCTTCTCTCGCTGGCACCGTTTCTCCCGCTGGGGCCGCTTCATTCGCGGGTCCGCGTGGAGCAGATTCAGGGTCTGTCCAGGAGGCTTCTCAATCAGGCCCTCCACTCCACGCAATTCCCCCATGTGACCCGGCTCGACTTCCAGTCCTCGGGACTCTGCCCGGCCCTCGCCGACATCATCCAAAGCTCTCTCCTTTTCTATCAGAAGCCATTTCTCCTCCGTTCGGCGCTTTAATCCGTCCCACTTCTCCCGGTGTTCCTGCAGCCTCCGGTCAATCTCGGCCAGCGAGTCCTGCTCAGAGGCCATCCCTTGGCCTCTCCCGTCGATGGGCCTTTGTCAGCAGCAAAAAAACTTTTAAATAAAAAGCCTCCTGGTGACCTCCACGAGGAAGAATCCCACTTCTGACACCAGTTGTCGCGTGTGTACCCTACCGGTTCTTTGCGACAACGCCTCTTCTTCCTTCGTGGTTCACCTACCCGGGCTCCGGTTGCTCTTCCCTGCGGCTTTTCCCCGCAGGCCACCCAGAGACTTCCTGAGTTCCACCTCTCCTGTGGAAACTCCCTTCTTCTGGCAGTATCTCTCGGCCCTTACCACTGGTGGGGGGACGAGAGAGACTTACCGGAAGAGTAGCAGCAGTAGCCTGGCGAAGATGGTAGTGGCGATAGTAACGACAGGAGGCGGCACGGAGACTAGAACCACTTCTTTATTGTCATCTATTACTAACATTAAATCTAAATAAAACAACAGACAATGTGTATTTACATGACCCTACATCCTGGGGCCAACACAAAAGCGTATTTACATCCAACCTCCCCAGGAAACGGGACCACAGCAGTCGGCGACTCCCACATCAGCCAGCAAGGGAATCCAGCGAAAGCGCCATCTATTGGCGGAGATTGCAACCGTTTAGAGGCCTTACACGTAACAATACGTTTATATATTATACTTTGTATTAAATAACTCTTTGCATTAATCAAATTTGAAATAACAAAAAAAAAGAAATGGCTTACAAAATGAAGGGGAAAAAAGCAAAGAAAGGTTTTCTAAAAAAATAAAAAGCTATTAATAGAAAAAATCCATTATCAAAGCTTTTCAAAGAGAAACAACAAAGGCAAATTTTCAGAACATGTTAAAATAAGAAAATGCAACTTATCTACTAGAAATAAATTTTGTTTAAATATTAAAAATTGCTACAAAGAGGAATCAACCCCAACATTTGCTAGGATGGTATGTGTTAGCATGCGCGTTTAGAAGAGTTTAATATCTAGCTAGTTTAACCTTGGCTAAAAATAATATCATCAAATATTATCTCTACAGACCTTACTGCAATGATAAAAGTTATTGAATGAGAGGGCTTAGCTGAACTGACTCACCACTGATGAGCCAAACCCTCTCATTCAATAACTTTTATCATTGCAGTAAGGTCTGTAGAGACAATATTTATTGGTTTTATTAAAAATGAAAATAATTGCCAATAAATTTAAGTGTTATAAATTTTATCGAGATGGCAATTAATTTATATTTTAAAGACTTTTTTTTTCCATCAACGATGGTTATCTTAGAGCCTGCAGAGGTTTGAAAAACAGGTTCAAAACAAAATCTTGACTTCAGAAAATAAATAGAAACTGGAAATGGAAGAAAAATACTAAAGGGAAATGCTTCAAGAATGCTTTCAAAGTTATTGAAGACATTTCTTCAAGTAAAATTTGTATCATATTAAAGGATAAAAATGTTTTTAAAAATAAATTTATGTTTCATAATGTATAATTAATAAAGCTCACTTAGGAGTTTTCTCTTAATTTTTAAATTAGACATAGAGGTACATGTATGCTAATTATAAGAAAAACCTATCATCAAATGACTTCTTTCAATATTCATCATTAAGTTAAGGAAATGGGTCAATTTAGGGAAATGAAACAAAGTGGCCTTTTATTAAGAGGCAGCCTTTTCCAGTGTGTATAGCTGTTCTTTAATTATACAATATAAAATTTTGAGAAGTGAAATCAAACAGACCATGTCTATAGTTAACCAAAAGTACACTCCCATTGGGGTTCATTATAGAAGGGTTTTACTGTGTTTATTTGAGAATGTGGTCTTGTTACATTATGTGTTTCTAATCTATATAACCCAAATTATATAAAATCATAAATGTGTATAGGAATTTTTTTTTTTTTTTAATTCTATTAAAATTAATTTATATGATAAATTTTATATAGGATAGTGTCAAGGGATGGGAATCGAACCCACGACCTTCCGCTTACCGGGCAGATGCCATGACCACTAGGCTACATATGCTAGTGGTCATGGCATCTGCCCGGTAAGCGGAAGGACGTGGGTTCGATTCCCATCCCTTGACACATTTATATAGGATAGTTCATGTTAACATTCCAAACCCAGCTGTAGTGAACAAGGAAGTGAGCAATAACCCTGGTAATTTTGATAAGACTTTTTGATTTATAAAAATTTCCATTTTAACTTGTTCAAGAAAAGTTAAGTTAGCAGATTCATAGAGAGGTAATGATAAGGCACAATTTGGATTATAAATTATAAACACAAGGTGATAAGATCAAATCCAAATAAATAGTGTGACATTTCAGTAACAACGCTGTTACCGAAACGTCACACACTATTTATTTGGATTTGGTCTTATTACCTTGTATTAGAGAGGTAAGTTTATATAATATCCCTATATATATAAAAGTCAGTGTATGTATGTATGTGGGTATCTATGTCGGCTATACACGTCCACAATACGTAACTAATCTGACTGAAATTTTAACAGTATATAGAGTAGAATCTGGAAAAACTTATAGTGAAAATTTCAGGTCTCTATCCCGAATATTCTTAGAGTTATTTGCAAATTGCGCTGCAAATTTGCCTTTTCGCTCACAAGCAGCGCCTCTAGCGGTGAAGATGGGAGGTAATATCAGCTGACCTAATGTACATGTAAAACGTGTTTTGACAGGACATAGAGTAAAATCTGGAAAATATATTTATCGGATTTTTAGCCAATAAAAAATAAAATTGACAGGTTCTGGGCAAAAATAGTGTTTTTTAGTCAGAAAATGATGATGACAATATTGCCGTATCATGTTTGATTATCAGATACAAAATTATATCGGGAAAAATCCCAAAAAGCTGAGACCATAGGTGAAGCCAGTTCATTTTTAGTGTGCAGGAACAAAATTCTAACAGAAAAACATTCATTCGAGCAGAAGACACAAAGCCAGATTATCTCTTTATAAAAATATCGCTTCTCTGACACAAAGTTTGGAGCGGGACGTTTCACAAGAGTGACATCCACGGCACCAATTTTTTAATTGTACTAATAATATTTGAATAAAAACATTTAATCAGGCAAAACCAGGGCGTTGCCGGGTCATTCGGCTAGTAGCTTATATTATAAATACATTTAACATTTTAGGTGTTACCATCAAAACACAATGCCTGCAGGAATGGAAATCTAATGCTGCACATGACTGGTACAGAGCAGAAGGACAAGCACCAATTCTGTCCTCCCAAGGGAACAAGAGTCTTTGATTTCCAGACTTAAGCCTGGTCATCTATGAACAATGACTTTCCAGAAGGGTTGCAAGGTTTTCCCACATGTACTAAGTGCAATTCTCAACCTGCAACCCCAAAACACATTATTGACTCACCATTAATGAGCTCTACTTATTCCCAGGAAACACCATCAAAAGTCTCAAGCTTTACAAGTTTGATACTCTAATATGATTGAGTGGAGATAAGAAAATAGAATAAGTGGTGTAAGGTGTCAGAATTAAATTTACCTATATATCTCAAAGCTCTATTATAATTTGAGTCAAAAGGCGATCCATTAATTAAGATTATATGAAAGGCGTACCTGGATCTTCAATGAAAAAAAAATTGTTTTTTTTTTCTTTGCAGATCCAGGTACGCCCTTTTATATAATCTATTATAATTGTTTGATTTAGCGCTATTTTTTATATACATATATTGTAGTTAACATGTTATTTGCATGTGTATTTTTAGTTCTCATTTAAAAACTTTCATGCTAGCTATTTCTGCACTGCACATCCTTTGTCTTCTGCTCTCACCATAAATGTTCTATATAGTTCGTACTATTTATATTTGGTAGTAGAAGTTTTTTTTTTGCTTTTAGTCAAAACAAACAAATAGTAAACTGGCATTTTTTATACTCACTGGTTTATGTTTTCAAAATTCTCGAAAATAGCTAGAAAAATACTATTTATTTGAAAAACGGGCTAATATTAATAAATGTATTATACTACTACCCCTAGAGATTTTCAAAATAAACGGCAAGGGGGAGGGGGGTCAAAATGTTTTTAAAATAAATAATATTCATAGAGAGAAAAATAATATTGATTAAAATATTTTTAAAACTAATCTATAAATAAAGTTACTTTTAGAATTGTAATTTTTTTATAATACTACTTTAATATTTTATAATATTATTTTACCATAAAATATTCAATATCTTGAGGAGTCTAATATATCATATTTGAATTTATTAAGATTATTTTTGTCTCTGCTTATATAAAACGCATACATGACTACACAAATACTACATTTAATAATGATATTTTATATATTTTATCAATATAACAAAATTATGTGAAATAACAAAATTATAACTAAACTATGTCGTTCAAATACCAATGTTTCAAATCACATTTGATATTTAAATGTAAAAACTATTTTTAGTTTAACAATAACAATAAGTATATAAAATTGACCGCTCAATAAAACATTTAGACCTGATTTAGGATTTTTTTTTCAAACCTACCTATTCACTAACTTCCATATCAATTTTATTTTCCAAAATAAGTGTACACTAGAATGTTGAGTTTTAAGATAACCATAATTATAATCTTACACCTGGTTTCATGGAATAAAATAAATGTAAAGTGACTAGAAATTAATATTTGACGAATAAAATATTATTTTAAAAGAAAATAATATTTATAAATTTCGATATAGTGTCTAATCAATAAAATAATAAGTTATTTCTAATTATAAATTGGCTTAGGTTTACATAAAATGCCAATTTATTAGCCTTAAAAAATTATACAATACAGTACTTTGAAATCTCGTTGTTAAGTATCAATTTTTTTTATTAAACCTCTAATTATTTACTTCTAACTTCAATTGTTGGTGTAATATAACTTGTAAAATATGTAATATAATGTTGTTGTCGTGTTCATGTAATATAATGCTAATGTTATATTGTAATATATTAGATAATGTTGGGCACGTTTTTGTAACCATACCCCAACAGAAGGCGTATGTATAATCAAATCAAATGGATACATGGCTTCCCTCCCACATAGACTTACGGACCCATTTTTTTTTGCCCAGAAACTTAGACACTGGTGACACCAGACTTCCATGCCGAAAGCTGATGCCTGGTGGAGAAGAAGACATCCAGAGACATCCGAGCTGGAAACTGTTGTTTCCTATGTACATATATTCCCCTCATCAAAAATTTAGGTAGAGGTGACCAGAAAAAAAATGGAGAAGGAAGATTTCTAAAAGACTAAGCCTTATAAATATCCTTCCCGAAAAAATAAGGAAGCATCACATTACAGTCCAGGTAAAAGGGGCCTGGGTCGATTTTTAGCCAAGACGGGGGGCGATATATATACCGTCCCGAGAAAAGGGAGGATAGTATTTCAATCCATGTGGAGGGGGGGGGCCTGGGGTCTGAAATTTTACACTAGTGCCGTGGCTGTTTCTCTCTTTAGATTTTTTTGTTTTTGGTAATACTATATGTTCTATTTTGATGAGAGAGGCCTGGGGCGTCTATGAAATTGTATACTGGAGCCGTTGGCCATTTTGATTGGTGTTTCTTTCGGCGAATGAAAATGCCAGCCAATAAAAACTTTGGCGCGGCCAGCGAATAAAAACGGAGAGAGAGAAGAATAAAAGAGGGTTTCTTTGCCAAAAGGCAGATGGAATCTGAGTCGCACAGTGAGAGGACAGTCTTCAGACGGTGAGACCAGACCTTTGCCGGCACTTTCGAGAAAAGGTAAGCCATTTGTCATTATGACTTAGCGCCTCCCCCCCCTTTTTGTGTAGTAGCCAACCTAGATTTCGCATGGGCCCTAAAGGGCTATAAAGTAACTTCAGGTCACCTCTATCCTTATCCCACCTCTATAATTTTACTATGTAAATAGCATATCTCGTCAGTATAGACATGTTCCCAAATTTTAATTTATTTAAATAAATATCTAGAGAAATTTTCTTGTTTCCTCTCATACATATTTCATTCCTTTTTGCTTTATGGTACTACCCCCACACCTTAATTTCGCAAATTACGACTTTATCAGGGCTACTTTGAGGGTATCTATCTGTCAGGTTTTAGTAATGTTTGTACTTTTATGTGTTTCAGTGCGTTATTCCATCATATTTACCATTATAGCATATTTTTCTGATTCCTCGGGCTATTTTTACGCTGTTAGGAGGGTACGGCATGATGCAAACAGATTTGTATGTTTGACTATTGTTTTTGTTATTTGGGCTATAAAAATGCCTTAATATGAATCTATTTACAGTTGATCTGTAGAAATTATAGAGATCTGTTGCTATAATTTTCCTCAATGAAATAGCTCCCAGCGTCTTCAGTGGGTTGATAAACCTCCAGAAGGAGTCTTTTATAGATTGCCCAATTCAATAACGATTTCATGGGTTGTCTGATGAAATTGTATACTAGTGTCGTGGTTGTTTCCATCTTTAGACCTTTGTCCTGACAATATTATATGCTCGATCCCTGCTTTAACTCAAACTCTTAATCAATTACAGAGTTTCCCCCGTTTTTTTTTTCTTTATTTATCCTGTTTGCACAAATTGCATTACATGTGATGATGTAAAGACATATGTCGATAGTGTATCATTGACAGCTGTGCTTCTATTATACAACATTATGGTCCTGCTGCGGGTTATATACATGGGGTTGTTGGCCTAAATTGCTATATATATATATACTTAAGTAAGGAAACTTTAATAAGTCACATCGTGTATCCTCCCTTTTCATCCTATCCAAACCGGGAACGCAACAATGTCGCCCGCCGCGGGGCTCGAATTTAGTATATGTTTCATCCCTATACTTTAGAAATATATACCTAATGAAAAGCCATACTATTTTTAAGTATTGGTGAAGTAGTCCACGCATCCTGAGATTAACAGTCTATTATAAATCGTGAATTTTTAATTTATGCTTTCCGTTCTCACTGGCATTTTATCAGGCAATGAAAGTTATGTTGAGGCGGTGTATACCGCATCTCTCGCCGGCTGTCTTTACGATTCACATTGTTTGTGGCAAAACCTTAATATTATCATTTGATTTCTGATATCA